CAACATCTAGGCTTACATTTATGCTAGTTGCAACTATCTAATGATTCTTACTGAATTTTTTTTTATTTTAGTATGATATGGAGCATAATCCGGACCTTTGTGTTAACAACGAAGGGGAATTCGAAAGAATGTATGTATGTGTGAAGAATATGGCCGATATCGTTGTGCCGCAGGTATTCACTGCTTCTATTCTATTCTAAGGGCATGTGCAAAACGGAAACTGAGCGACTTCCTCGACTCACCCCCTTGAAATTTCATTGATAGAAGATTTTGTGAAGGGTCATGGCTGTAAAGATGAGATGTGTATATTCGAATGAACTACATTTCATCTTCGTTTTCCTTTTACTTTTACTCCAGAGTTTGGAATACTACTCCGACTTGACAGAACCTTTGTTGTCAGACATTACCGAGCCTTTCTGACCAGATGATTTCGAATAACCTCACGCAACGATTTTAAAGGAATATGGCATTCGTAAGGAAAACAAAATATGCGTGGCCCAGCGTGTCTGTACGCCTTTGCTGAAGAAGATTAGAAACGATTTGCACCGATGTATTGAGTGTTCCGAAGAAGACGAAAGTCAGACAAGGCTCGATCCAAGGTAGGATAAACCATTCCTTCGATGTAGTGCCTCCATTTGGCACTTTGATCTACGAGTGGGCACACGAGGTGTTTCAGAGCTTCTGAAGGCATTGCCACACCTCTTCGTCACGTTCGCACCCGCCTCTACTTCACTAGCGAGAGCCATATTCACACATTAATGAATCTCATTCGATACGGTGGACTCTGTTCGGTGAGTTGAGGCTTTCTGATTTTTCCTTTGATCGCTTATGGTGAATAAAGACCCTACTTTCTGGGATGCAGGACTACGTTCACTTAGCGTCAGCATTTCAAGCTTACGGCAGCATTTTCAGCTATAAAAGTATGAAAATCAATCTAGTGTTTCGAGCATACGCCGGCATTTTCAGCGACTGCCCGTCGAAAGGTCAAATTCCCTTCGGGAACGCTCAAAGCGCTTGATCGATATCTATGCTTTCCTAGTCGCTCAAAACCGTCACAAAGTTTGAACGCAGCCTAAGACACATTTATTAGCATGCGCGCGGATATGCACCCATCAACGCGTGCGCGAAAATTATCTGAATATACAATAGGTTTTTCAGTGTTTTCTAGCGAATATTCGTCTTCTAAACTCAAACTTTTTTTGTGCCTTATATTCCTTGCATTTTGTGCACATAGATAAGAACATACAAAAGTACGCAAAAGCCACAAAAACCTTTGCGGTGTTCAAGGGAACTGTATAAACGACGTGCCTTGTGCCCTAGAAAATGGGGGAGACACTCTTCTATTCTGATAAGCTCCCCCGGAAAATGATGGAGTCACTCATTCTTATTTCTTATAAGCTTATTTTGGTTACTCGATAATAATATTCTTTTTCGCTGTGTTTACCCGTTTCCGCTGAAACTTACACAAACGTTCTGAGCAATATAAATCGAAGCTGATAAGCTGGATGTGTTCAAAAGCGGTTGAGCTCTCAAATAGCTCGATCGCCACTGAACACATCCAACTTATCAGCTTCTATTAAATAGACCAATTACTGAATTTTAGGTCGATGACAAGAAATGGCAGCGTGCTATGAACTTCCTCTCTGGTGTCACTGAGTTCAACTATATGACGCAGGTGAGTCTTTAGTTCTCTTCTTTTTTTGATTGGCGATCAAGAGCCCAAAGGCTTAGTCTCAAGCCATGCTGCTTGTGAGATAATTTTTTGGTCACACAATGTTCTCCAATTTTAAAAGAAAGGGTATTGTCAAAGTAATGTCACAGAGCGCGTTCATACTTCGCGATCCGATCGCACGATCGAAACGGTCCAGCGATCCGATCGCGTGATCCACGATTTATTGTTATGATCACACGATCCAAGGCATCGGATCGCAGAGTATGAACGGGGTAAAAAATTATGATCTGTTCATTTTTTCCTTTCTCCGAAAAGTATCCTCCCAAACGAAAAAGCTCAATTAATGAAGCTTCTTTAGCTTTGTTTGAACTCTGTTTAATTTCTTTGTTTAGTTTCTTTCTTAAGGTTGTTCTGATGGTGTATGAAGATAGTCGAACTGATAGCATTGCAACTGGTACAGAACGCTTTCATATTGAGTTGTTGTTCTCTCCAGGGCTTTATCCATGTTTCCTGACCGAGAAAGAGCGAATTTACGAAAATCGACTGAAGTGAGTTTTGTCTTTTTTTTCATGCCCTACAATTCAGTAACTTAAATTAGCGTGATTCTTAAGTAAATCTAATGGTATGACGAAGAGTCACTCGCGTGAAGGAAATTGTAACGGGTCGGTTTCACCTGCATCTGCAGACGCAGCCAAAGTGAGTTTTACTTTCTCAATGGTTTCAGTGCTCTCTAGTTCTTTCTAGTAACAGTAAGGTCGATACGTGCTCTGTATAATTATTTATTGAAAGAGAATTAACGGCAAGATTGCTTTTATTTATATGAGTGCAGTTCAAGAATATCCCCATGGGGGTGGAGGGCCGTCATGGGTGCAAACGTGACTTAGTGAAGGGGAAGTAAGTGCACTGTGAATATTCTTTCAAAAATCCTTAAGTTTGTTAGTGAAGGTGTGAGCCTTCATAGTCACAGTTTAGTGCTGGGCCTTTTAGTTGAGCTGCTACGAGAAATCCCGTTGAAAATGTTTCAGCAAATATGGCGTACTGTTCTTAGTTGTGTTACAGGAAAAGAATGAGGAACTTCAGCCGATATTTATATCGGTGCCTGTGCCGGCAGACGATGTGTCTGTATCAAGCGCGAACGATGACCAGAAAGCAGCCGAAACTACTGGGTGGGTCTATACTGATATTTCAAAAAAGAGTGTTTTTCTAGGTTTTTGTGTAGCGTATCGATCACGACCCTCAGTACGGTTTCGGGCGCTGTTCGCCTGGAGAAAGGGCATTCAAAGATTCTCGTACATAATTGGTATTACTCTGGCGTGAAACCCCTGAAACTTATTCAGAAAATTCGGCTCACCCACACGGAGCCTCCTTCCCTCCTTCCGCTAAGGTGGAGGTCACCATATCGTCCAGGTTCGACCCTCGATGAATCTTGGCATATTGTGAAGTTTCTTAGGGGTGTTGCTGTAGCCGTGACCAAGATGATATAACAGTTTTATTGGCTAACGTTTCGGCCTTATCGCCTTCGTCAGAGCCTGGAAAAAGTCAAAGATCAAAGTGAGACTACCCTCGGACATCATTTGATCACCATATCCTTAATCAACGTTTTGCGTAAAGAACTCTTTGACATTGCTGGGTTCTATTTTACATTTGTTCAGCGACTCATTAAATTTTGATAGTGACGAACCTATCGTTTGCGCGTAAAAGTCCACTTGGAACACCTAAAAACCTGCTAATAAAATAAGTCGGGTTTGCATTGTGTACAGGAGACCGCCACTCACAATCAGGGTTGTTTTGTGAAACGATGACTAGCGTTGTGATTTTCAGGTTGGTGAGCTCGTCGTCGAAACTGCCCCAACCCGATTCGGAAGACGACCTCAATGACGCCCATTCTGTAAATCTAGTTGCATTGGACGAAGTGAACACGAAGCAGTATCGTTAGCGAATTATTTCTTTCACATCTGTCATACTCCTTGAGCATATTTAGAAATTTTCCTTCCTCTGCTCTTTCTCCATCGTTCATCCTACTTCATGTGCATGACACGGCGTGATACCCGTACTTTGATTTGACTCTTACTAACTCTGCTCTAACAACTCACACACCGTGTGCCATCTCAAACACCTTTCAGCTGGAGAAGAAAAGATGGGAAAAAGGCAGAGGCATGCAACCGGAGGAGAGAAAGCGAGTGAGGAAGGCGATTTGCCGAGAGAGGATCTAACGATAGATTGGAGGCAGCAGAATGGGCTAATGAAGAGTCCCAGTCAGGTACGCATAGAGTAGAGCTTCTGCTTGAGCGCTGTTCGATTACCTGTGGGGCTTTCCCTTTTTGAGTTGTATTCGTGACGAAGGCCCAGCCTAAAGGCAGCTCCTGCGATGAAGTATTACGTGTACTAGGCGCTCAATCATGAACCAGTAGCCCATAGGTAACTCCTCAGTAAGGAAAGAAGCAAAAAAAACCTTGGGAGCACCCTAAACAGAGACCTCTTTACTAGTGGGGCCGGCACCTTAGAAGAATCGTCTGAGGTCAGACAATCCCAATTCGACGCGCAACCATTTTCTTGCAACAATCCCAATTCGACGCGGAACCATTTTCTTGCAAAAGCATAGGAAATAGCCCCACGACGCTCCAGGCAACGCTATTTACACATGCAGCTCCGCTTGCATGCATTGTCTTGCAGAGTGAAAGTAATCGTGGTTGCAATGGTTGCAATAATCACGCGTCTCTAGCTTCTTTATCTCGCCGTTTCGAGTGACAAAAGTGGTATATTCTCTGCGAATGCGGACAACGATGCCAAATGCGCGGAGGCATTTCGCGGGCCACTTGATCGCGGGAACTGTCTTTAAGTTGTGCTAGAAG